TTTTTTTTTCTTCTGCCCGCCGGTGGTGACTTCGAAAAAGGGTCTGAGCGCTGCAGCCTCTTCTTCTCACGCTGGCTGAGCCAAAAATTTCTCGAGAGCCACTTGTTTCATTCGGAAGACCTCCGAGGCCGGCTGGATCACCCTCCTCAACATCACATCGATCCACTTTGCTTCCCACGCGACTCGCAAACAAGCTCATACTCGGGACTTGCCGCAGCTGCTCCGCCGCCATGCCCAAGTCCGGATTCGATCCGCAGCGCCATCAGCGCAAGCTGCATCGCCACAATCCACTCGCCAAGTCGTCGGCATCGAGCAGCGCCGCAGCATCGCCCGCCAGCGTGGCATCCTCGACGCTCGACGCACTTCAGCAGGCCGCAAAGGGTGGCGGCGCCGACAGCGCCAGCCCCAAATCCGCAAAGGCTGCCAAGGCTGCCAACAACGCGGCGGCGACCAACGACATCATCCCGCTGCTCGCCAACCTGCCCGCCCCCGATGCGTCGTCCGCGTCGTCGGCCGCGGCTCCCATCAACCTCGCCGACAAGGTGTGGGCGCTCGCATCGGTCTCGCTCCTGCTCTCCGTCAGCCCGACTCAGTCCGCGGCAGAGGTCAAGCTGCATCGAAAGCTCCTCCTCTCGCACAACCTCGTCGGCAGGCTCATCCTTGCGCTCCACTCCCACACCGAAGTCGACGTCCGTCGCGAAGCCAGCGGCGCCCTCCGCAACCTCTGCGTCGACGCAGGCATCGATGTGCGCAACGAGCTGGTCAACAAGGGCGGCATCCCCGCCATCCTCGCCGCGCTGCGATGGGCAAGCAACGCGCTTGGCTTCGACGCCGCCCCCGCCGCCAGCGCCAATCCCTCCATCTCGTTTGTCGACGACGCACCCACCCAGGAGCAGGACATCGAGGCCAAACGTGCCCTGCTCGCAAAGCCGCTCGACAAGATGAACAAGAAGGAAAAGCGACACGCCACCAAGCTCGCCACCGCGCTCGGCAAGACGCTCGAACAGCTCGCTGGTCAAGGCCTCTCGGCAGACGACGAGGCCAAGCTCACCGCATCCCACCAGCCCTCCAATGGCTCCACCGATCAAGTCATGGACACGGCATCCTCGGTCGCTCCCGCAGCTGTGCGCGCCGCAGAGCCGTTCCTCAGCCTCGACTCCAACACCCGCAAAGGTCTCGTCGAGATGGCCGACAACCTCGTCACGCTCGTCTGGAGCCTGTGCGAGTCCGGAGACAAGGCCTTCGCCAAGCTCGTGTCTTGGAAGTGGCTCGATCACGACATTGTCGGCGCGGCGGCTGCCAACGACGAGCTGAGCGGCGAGGGGCTCGCCTCTTGGCTCGCGTCCGCCATCGCGCTCGGCTCCAGGGCCGCCGCTGTTCTGTCGACGGCCGGCGCAGACGGCTCGCGAGCATCGTCTTCGTCGGCGCATGATGCGGCTGATGCGCTCGGCGTTCTCTCCAACGAGGAGCTCTCGCTGCTGCTCGACCTTGCACTCGCTTCCGGCAATGCCCTTTGCGCCTTGACCGACGGTGGCGAGGCCGACTTTGTCAACGGTCTTCTCGCCCGCAAGACGCCCGCGCACACTCCCAAGGCTGCCAAGAAGAAGGGCGCTTCCGTCCCGGTCGATGTCGCGCCCGTGGTGCAGTCGATCGACGAGCAGCCAGAAGCGGCCACGCGCCGCCTCGCCGCGATCCAGACGGCGGTGTCGCTGCTGGAGGCGTGCGTGCAGACGGACCAGTCGGGCATCGACAAGCTCAAGCGCTACATCCTGTCGCAGTCGACCATGCTGGGTGTGCTTTGCGCCGGCGTGCTGCGCAATGTGGCAGCTGCCGTCGACTCGCACGGCTCGACACGGTCGAGCGGCAAGGCGCGCAGGAACACCGCCGCCGCCTTCAGCTCGGACAACGTCTTCCTGCCCGCATCGTCTGGCGCTGGTGTGGCGAGCAAGAGCGGCAAGGGAAAGCTCGATGCATTGCAGGGTGTGTCGCTGAAGCGGTTCGAGGAGGCGACGGTGCTGCCGACGCTCACGCGGCTGCTGGCGGGTGTGGATATGACGCGGCTCGCGCACGACCTCGATGGGCGGGGCGATGTGAGCGACGTGTCGCTCGACGGCTCCAAGGACGGCGACGAGGCGGCGGTGCGCGCCAAGATGCAGCGCAAGGCCGAGGAGCAGGCGCAGACGCTCATGCTTGCGCTCGAGGTGGTGGCCGAGATGGCCGGCTCGCTTGACGCGCGTGCGGGCGGCGCAGATGGCGATGAGGGCGAGTGGCTCGAGGACCTCGATGCCGAAGATGCCGGCGACGACGATATGGACATGGGCGATGATGACGACGACGTGCCCGAGGACATGGAGGCCATGCTCAACGAGGCGGGCGATGACGACATGCGCGTGGATGCGGAGCACAAGGATACCTTTGCCGACGCCGTCAAGCGCAGTGGAAGCATGCCGTTCGAGGCGTACGCGCCCGTGCTGAGCGCGATCTTTGGCGATGCATCCGCGGCGCTCACCGATGCGCTGCTGGCACTGGCCAGGCCGTTCGAGGCGAGCTTTCCGTCGCTGTCGGGCGCCAAGAGTGCGGATGCGGATGCGAATGCGGATGCGACGACGTCGGGACAGCTGCGTGGGCTGCATCTGCGCTCGCTGTCGGTGCTCAACAATCTGATGCTCAGGCTCGCCTCGTTTTCGCCGCCGCCGCCATCGCAGCCCGCAACGGAGCCGAAGGTGCAGCGACGCATTACGGCGTTGCGCGCGTGGACGCAGCAGCCCCAC